CCTGACAACAATCATCTAGATGAAGAAACAGAAATCGAGCCCCAGAATGCCTGTCTTTGCTCTGCACCATCACAACACCCATCCTTCTGCCAAAGAAGCACTGGCCTGGCTTTGTGGCGGTCTCTTTTGTGCTATTCCTGTAAAGTTAGCACGTGTGTGCTCCTACACACTGTAGCTGAATGATGTCTTTTTTTTTCCTTTTATGTGTGTGTGTGTGTGGGGGGGTTTCTTCGTTGTTGTTTTTTGTTTATTTGTTTTGAGAGGGTCTCACTGGGTAGCCTAGAACTTGCTAGGTGGACCTGGGTGGCTTGAACTCACAGAGATTCACCTGCCTCTGCCTCCCCAGTGCTGGGATTAAAGTCATGAGCCACCATATCTGGCCTATTTTTTATATCTTTTAATTCTATTTTAATCTAAATTTTCCTTCCCCATCCATACTTTCCCATCTTTTCTCTTGTAAAAATGATTTTTGAAGAAACCAGGCCATTTAAATCTGTAACCTGGCAAAGTTTCCTATAGCCTCGATTTGGCAGAATCAAGCAATGCAAATATTATAAGTAGCTAATATGAATCGAGCCATAAGGAAGGTGTCAGGTAGATTTAAATGCAAATATCTGGTCTGCCAAATTCACAAGAACATTAAAACTCAGTTCTTCTAACAAAAAGTTCTTCTTCTTCTCCTTTTTTTTTTTTTTTTTTTTTAAAGCTTTGCTTGATGCTCCATATATTTACCTCCAGGAAAGTCTGGTAAAAGAAGACTATCACAGTAGATGCATAAGGGAGAAAAAACTGTATAAACAAAAAAAAATGAATTTTCTTAGCAAGAATATGGAAATAATCAGCAACTTCTACCCAGGCCTTTGAGTATTTGAAAATGCTTGTGCTTTCTTTCTTTAGGAGACAGTCATATGCAGTCACTGGGAGAAAGATGGATGACGGCAATGCAAAAATCAATAAAAGGGCAATGTAAAACTCACTGGGATTTTTCCTAAGTACAGTGAGACAAGCCACAGTCATTTCTGACTTCACATTGATTCTCACCACCACATTCTTCTCAAGCTTCATCTCCAGCAATGGACTTCAGGCATGGAATAAAAATAGCTTTGCCGCTGCTAAGCCCATTTGCTATAAGATCTTGGGGCAAGTTATTCTACACATTGCCTTACATGAACATTGAGGATAATGTGTACCTTACGAGTTTGTTGGGGGCTCAAATGAGATAACAGCTATAAAGTGTCACATAGTAAATGCATAACAAATGTCAGTCTCTTCACTTTGCCTCTTCCCTGCCAAGTTGTATCAATTTTCCTTTAAATATGTTGACTTAAAAAATTCAAGCCATCAAGAACCAAAAGTTCAAATAAAGGACATAAAAAATTCAGAATTTTCATCTCACTCTATGCAAAGTAAACCTTTTGAACTGAATCCTTGAGAATTTAAGCAACATACATACATTTAAAGATGGAACAACAAAAATCCTCCTTTGCAACCATCCCTACCTTCCTCCTTTCTGATCCATTTCCCCTCTCATCTTTCTGTGCTGGTTGGTCCTTTAACCACACAGTAGGAGAGGGTATGCAGAGTTTCTACTCCAAACCCAATTTTACCAGCAAGAAAATGGGCCTGGAGAAATGAATGGATTCAGTCAAGCATAGTCAGCTAGTTCACAGCGAATAAGGCAGTAACTTCTCAAATCAGATGCTTACAGAGGTCAGCAGAAAGGAGAAAAGGAAAGCAAAGAGAAAAGTCAGGGTGGGGAAGTCACTGTGATCCTGTGTGAAAGAGGTACTACCTCTTCTTTTGTTTCTAAAATTTTTTTGTTGCATGTGTATTGTATGTGTGGTGTGCATATGCATGTGCTGGTGTGTGGGTATGTACAAGGAGGTGTATTCCTTGATGACTTTCCACTTTATATATTGAGGCAGGATTTCTCCCTTGAGCCCAGAATTCACTGATTTAACTAGTCAGCTAGCTTGCTCTGGGAATCTCAGCCTCCAGAATGCAAGGGCATGACAAAGGGCTGCCACATCCACGTAGCATTTAAGTGGATTCTGGGGATCTGAACTCCAGTCCTCCTGTTTCATGGCAAGTGCTTTACCCACTGAGCCATCTCCTCAGGCTCCAGTACTAGAACTTGTAATATTTATGGAGATGAAGGAAACTTGAAATTTTATAGCTAATGTCATTTTTAAATGTTGGCAATGTATTAAACAATTTAAAACTTCCCTGAAGGTCAAAGTGGACATATCACATCTGTTATGTACCAGATTTAGTTCACATCTGGCCAGTTTGAGGCCTATGCTTCCTGCTAAGCACGATTTAAATTTCTTTTACTTAATTTGTTTTGATTCTCGTACTGTACTCCCTGCTCAAAAAACTTCAGTGACTCCCAGTTGTCTACAAGATAAAGCCTAAACTTCCTTTCTAGTCTTTTAAGACAACATGGGACCAGAGCCAAAACCCTAAACCCTATTCCCACCTTACAGTCTCCATTTTCCAGGGCAACCACAACTACCATTGAATCAGACTCTAGGCATAGGAATGTTTAGAGATGAGGACTGTTCCTTGTTCCCAGGGTTACCCTTTCTTGGATAACCTCCACCTGTGTACTCCTATCAAGCAGTTCCACTTATCTTTTAAGTGTTCAGCTCAAACAACCTTTCTCTACAAACACATCCATGATGGCCCTGACTAAAAGCTACCTAGCTCTGAATTTCCATAGGACTTAACATCACTCACACGACACTTACCACATATCCCTTGTTTTGGAGTTACATCTTCCCAATTACCTAATAACATTCCTGGAAGGAAGGTTTGGGTCTTGGCCCACACTGAATATTCCCATGTAGCAGTGCTTTGCACATAGCAGTGAGCTCAATAAACATCTTAGGAACATTAGCTTTTACTGAAAATGTATGGCTACAACATAAAGAAACTATGCTGATAGAACTCTGTTGTATCTAAACTTCCTTAGCAGGGCTTTTTAAAAATTGTACCAAGTAGGGTGGGCTTTCATAGTGGCCCCCTGGGACATCCTCCTTGGGTTCAATAGTTTTTGTTTGCTTTGAGATATCTTGCTTCAGGGCCTTCACGTCTCTTAGACACTGCTTCTAAGAAGTCACTGGCAAACATTTATCTGCCACATGTAAACACTTCTTGGGTGTCAGCCTTTTCCAATGGAGGAAGGCTAATTGATCAGCTCTGATGAGAATCACTGAGAAATGAACAGAGGATTGGGCTATCAACAAACAAGCACTGTGCAAGTATTTCAGATGTGGTAAAACTGAGGGAAACCAACCTCATAAAGCCAGGCCTAACTTGATGGTTGCTATCAAAGCAACTTATGATTGTGGGGTTCAGGATCTTATATCTCACACTTTGTTTTTCTAGAACTTACCCCCATATCCAGCCATCTCTATTCGGTGAGTGTCAAAAAGGAAAAGTTAATATTCCATTTTACTTTGGCTGGCCTGGCCAATACTAGCGGCACTCAATAAAATGTTTGTTGAATGGTTTTTAGAAATCAATTTGTACTTTCACTTGAAACAAAAGTAATTATTCTTTCAACAGTAAGCAAAAGGATAAAATACTATGGTTTTATACTATGGCCTAACTTTGCACACTAATGGGAAAAGCTGGCAGAGTCTTATCTCAAACCAGCAATGGCTGAGGTGTCAGCTCAGTGATTCAATTAGCGTATTCTGGGTACAACCTTTCTGACTTGAATAAGCAAGCGCTCTCAAAGGCAAGTGAAGCCTTGCAAACATTGTTTGCTTCACCTTGATGTCACATGATAATCTGTAGTGCCAAGACAATCACGAATTCCAGGAAACATTAAAGAAAACTAATGACTGCAGAAGTTTCCTATGTGAAAACAACATTTTCCTGTTTCAGATGATGCCATGGTTGGTCACATCTTCTGACTATAATATCTTTACCAAGAGCAGATTATTCATTCTTAAACTTTTATTGGAAATGTGTCTACTGCAAGTAATAGAACATCTATTCAAGGAAGTTCTCATGAAAAGCGAGTCCGCTCTTTGTAATTTTGTGGCTGGAAGGACAGGCTCCCCAAATTCCCTCATTTTATTATCTTTTGTGGCAAAACAGACTTAGAGCAATAATCTTTCCTCTTGAAAATTAATAAGGTGGACAGGCTTATTCTTTATAAAATCACCCTCTGAGTTCAAAACTAATATTCAAGATACTTTTCAAGCATAGGAGGGATCTAATCTTTGATTATTGGTTAAAAATCCCCCCACTTAGATCAGTATCAACAAAATTTTATGGCTATATTCTTGTAAAATAAAAAGATTCATGGCTTTGTTTAAAACCAAGAACAAAGTAATACCCTTAGGAAAACAGGAAACCTACTCCATCAAATCTCTCTTGCCCCTACTTGAAAGAATATAAATGCTGCTAGAGGCAGGGCTGGCCTGAGCTATTTATTTATTTATTTATTTATTTATTTATTATTTCCCCGATCTTAGAGCCACCCAAAAATAAATGGGCGGTTCCAATCCCCTTTGATCCTCTGAAATGTACATTTCTGGCATAAACCAGCGTTGTTTGGGCTGACGATGTTTCCCAAGGGGCGGGTGATGAAGAACTGCAACCTGAGATTATCAGTGTTTCTCTCACTGAAATGCAAGAGCTAGGTAGAGGCCTTGGGGACACACAGGCAGAGCATCGGCAGAGTTGACATTACCGTGCCCTTAATGAGTTTCCTGTTTCTGAGAACCTTGTCACTTAAGGAAAAAAACAACTGTGAAAGGATCAAGGAGTGGAAATGAGTGCAGATTCGCTCCCACAGCCCTCAGCTCTCTGCGGGGGAGGCGCGAGGCTCTGGGGAGGCCCGGAAGGAGCTGGGGTCGGCCGCGGGGACGGCGGACGCCTGCTATCACCTTAGGCAGCTCTTCCCAGCAGTGTAGGCGCTGGGCCGCGGCAGGCGGCGGCTGGGGCCTGCGCGGGGCGGGCGGACGGTGCCGGGAGGCCCTTACCTGGTTCCTGCGGTACCACTCGCTCGACAGCGAGCCGTTGCCCGCGCCCGGCGCCCAGTAGGTGAAGTTCCGAGTCAGCTCGTCCAGGATGGCCGAGGTATCGTCCCCGGGGCCCGCGGGCGCCTTCGCCGCCATGAGGACTCGCTCCCCTCAAGGCCGCTCCGCCCGCGGCCGCAGCCTCTTCCTGCCAGGCGGGAACCCAGCGCGCCGGGCACCTGGCTCCCGCCCCTGGCAGGTGCAGCGCTTCCCCGCCTGCGCGGCCCCGGCCCCGGCCCGCCGTCCCCACCCCCCACCTCACCGGTTCCCCGCGTGTCGGTACAAGCATCAGACCATCCCCTCCGGATCTAGTGTGCGGGTAGCACTTGTCCCAGTGAACCAGAAAGGAGCCATGGGTTAACCCAAGGAGTGACGGTCGCTCCTTACCACATGGAAAGGGATCTCAGGGATGGATTTAAAATGGTCTGCACGTGAGAAAATCTTGAGCCTCCCCTCCTCAATTGTGAGCATTGTGGGAATTAGGATCCCAGCAGGTACATCTCAATGTCAGCACTTGAGAGATACTTAGTATTTCTAGAATTAAGGTAGCTTGGGGACCCCAGTGTGTATGTGGTGACTGGATGGGACTTCTTCAGATAGGACGGGAAGGAACCGCTGAAAAGTTGCCGCCTGCCCTTTATAAAAATTTGGGTTGGGTGGTGGCGCACGCCTTTAATCAGCGGTCGGGAGGCAGAGGCAGGTGGATCTCTGTGAGTTCAAGGCCAGCCTGGTCTACCTAGTGAGTTCCAGGACAGCTGGGGCTACTGGGAGACCCTGTCTAAATAAGACCCCCCGACAAAAGTCATTAGTTGGGGCCAGAGAGATGTGACAGAAAGGTTGAGAATGATTTTAAGAAGTCTTACGAGATATTCTGGTTTGACCTGTTTTTAAATTCCTCACTACGAATTATCTCTCAGGTACCTCTTTGAGAATTCTCAGGTGTTGTGCTGTTGCCTGAAGCGACTGGGCTTGTAATTCTTTTGTTTGCACAATGCTGAGATTGTTCTTAAGCAATGTGCTTTAGTTTCCATGACTGTGAAAAGAAGACCTTCAAGAAAGGAGGGCAGCAGAGAAGGTTTCTTAGGGCCAATGGGCAAATGAGAGAAGAAAGTGTGAAAAAGTCATTTCAGACTCAGTAAAATAAGACAAATTATCTCAAAAGTTGTGTGGTTCCTTGTTTAAGGGACCAAATGTTCAGTCAACAGTCAATAATTGCAGCTAACTCTGCTCAATTTTAAGAGATCAATTTATTTAAATAAACACCAGAAGGGAAAATTATCTTTTTGCTTTATTTTATTATTATTTATGTGTGTGTGGTACCAGGGATTGAACCCAAGGCTTCATGCATTCTAGGTAAGCACTCTACCCCTGAACCACATTCCCCTGATAATGTGATTCTGTGATGTCACTCTCTTCTTCTGTTTTGCTATGCATGGTATATCAGCCCTATTTTAGTAAATGTCTACAGAATTTCCTCCTCCCTCCTCCCCCTAGCAGCTTTCCCCCTCAGACCCTATTGGCTGGGACTGGGTCACATAGCGGGTTCTACCTGCCAGGGAGACTGAGAATGTGATTCTTGGGCATTTCCAGCCTAGAGAGTGGGAGGTGAGCTCTGCCAGGCAGAAAGAACAAAGATTGGGTGGGGTAGCAGAGGGGAACTAGCAGAGCCTGGAACAATCATTCTTTAGTATTTTCTGTCAGCCAGATTGTATGTAGGCATGCAGTCTCTAACAAGCAAAATACTAAACAGATCGTGTTACTTTCCTGTTTAATATGCCTGTTTAATATCCTCCCCATTGACCTGTATTGAAGTTCACAGGTTTTATACCGGCCATGTGAGACCCTTTATGATCTGTCATCATCTGCAGCACTCAACCCATTCCACCTTTTTAACCTAAAAGTCATTTTAAATTCTTTTGTATTTGTTTAAAACCTCTAATTTTGGAGGAAGACAGTACTTGGTACAGAAAATATGTAACGTGTAGCCTACGTTGTGTTGCTCAGTAGATCAACAGATTCCAAGATGTAGCTGCTATCGCTGCTGCTGCCCTAGCGTGTGTAGGTGGCAGAAACAAGGAATCGTGACCAGAGTTCCTTCCCACATGGCTCACAGGAGGCGGCAGGAGTGTGCATCAACTATTTTGGTCCCAGCGTTGTAGGTGGAGCTGTGGAAACTGCTCCTACAGTTGATGGCCTCTGCCTTTAGGAGGCATTCTTTACGGAATAGCCTGTTCATTTTCCCGGATGTAATCAGCTTCCCTCCCAGTCCTCAATGCTGCAACCTGGAGGCCTGTCTTCCTGTTAATTTGGCTGCCACACCATTTGAAGCTGGGTTTCACCTAGACTTGGAGAGTAGGATTTGATTTGACCTTTTTTGGGGGGGATCATCCACTTGCAGAATCGATGAAACTTTAAAAAAAATAGTCTTTGGCAAGACTCAGATAACACTAGTTGTTTTACAACAAGCATCTCATGAAGGAGGCATGCACTAGGATCTAATGTAAAGATCAGTTCCAGTGTCACATCATCTATGCAAGTGAACTTCAGGTTAGAGACTTTAAAGAGAAAGGCAAAACTTTTAAAATTTGTTAGAATAGCTCATGAAGCAGTCTGTACAATAGGCAGCTTGACAGGTGTTGAAGTGCAAATAATGAAAGCAGATCCCCTGTACTTACACCCTGACAACTCTGCTTGTCTGCTGTGTGGCTTTGACCTGGATGCTTAATTTCTCTGGGCTTTCAATCTCCTACATAAAAGGGAGATTATGGGTACCTGAGACATAGAAAGTATTTAGTAAGTGCTGAAATATTCAATAAGTGCAGCTGTCACTACTTGTAACCTTATAATAGGGCAAGCCTCCCTCCTTAAACTCAAAAATACAAACCACAGAGGGAAACATTGACAAATGCAATTACAAATAAAATTGAGACCTGTGTTTTTTGAGATAGGGTCTCCCTACAGCCCCAACTGGCCTAAAATTGCTATGTAGACCACCTAGCCTTGATCTCACAGAGATCCACCTGCCTCTGCCTTCTGAGTGCTGGGATCAAAGGTGTGTACCACCACGCCCTGCTGAGAACTTTGTACATCAACAGACATCATAAAATATACAGGTAAATGACAAACTGAGAACCTTTAATTGTCACACATAGAACTGACAAAGAGTTCATATCTAGAATATACAAGTAGCCTTTATGAGTCAGTAAGATAAAAAATCAGATAACGCAGTAGAAAAACAGGCAAAAATAAAACACAAGTATTTTTCATTAAAAAATGGTCAATAATCATGCAAAGTATTTTTATCTCAACAGTAGACGGAGAAAATACAAATTAAAATCCCCAATGGAAATCATTTCTCACTGGTTGGCAAAAATAAATTTAAAAAATTTATGTAGTGGGGCTAGAGAGAAGGCTCAGTGGTTAAGAGCACTGGCTGCTTTTTCAGAGGACTCAAGTTCAATTCCCAGCACCCACAAGATGGCTAACAACTATCTGTAACTCCAGTTCCAGGGGAATTCAACACCCTCTTCTGACCTCTGTGGGCCTTGTATGACATGGGTGTACTTACTTACATGCAGCAATACACTCACTCACATTAAAAATAAGCCAGACTCAGAGACAGATATGGCATATTTTTTATCATGTATAGAATTAAAAAAAAATGTGTGTGTGTGTGTCCTGAGATGGATTTACAGGCAGTTGTGAGCCACTTAATGTGGGTGATGGGAACGGAACTCTAGTCCTCAGGAGCAGCAAGCCCTCTTAACTGCTGAACCATCTCTCCAGTTCAGATGTGAAATCTTATAAACTGGCGTAGTAAATGCATATAACCTACATACCTCTTCCTATACACTTTAAGTCACTTCTATATAGAATCTCTAATGCAATGTAAGTTCTCTGTAAATAATTGTTACACTGTGTTTTTATGGAATAATGACAAGCCAAAAAGTCTGAACTGGCTCAATATATACACATTTTTCTCAAAATATTTTTAATCCACAGTAGATTGAAACCAAGTATGCAGAACTTGCAGATACAGAAGGCAGAATGTGTATCCTAAAATAAAGTTAAAGGAGACAGCAAAGCCAGAAAATTGAGGATCTTGCAAGTCTGAACTTGACTCTTAACAGGGAAGCATGGAGTCACGTTACGTAAGAAGCAGCAGAAATGATGGGTGTGGTGAAAGAACACTGGTGTTCTTTCTACTGGAACATGGGTGTGGTTTAAGAGGGGAAACTCTAGAGACAAGTTGGGAGACTGCCATGGTTCAAGAGAGGATATACAAGAAAGCCTGGAGAGAAGACAGGGGAGTTAAGAAATGCTTAGAAAGGCAACTGGCAGGGCAGGGGAAGGAGAAAGAAGGCTGAGTTTCAGATGTGTTCTAGTTGGAGTGATGGTTGCATAGTCAGTACCATTGCTGAGACAAGGAAGAGAAAGGAAGGACCAGTTTAGGGGGAAGGATCAGTTCAGTTTGAATTTGATGCTTACTGAAGTTGAGACGCTTTAGAGCATCTGAGAAGGAAAGGATGTGCAGATGTTCAAAGGGAAGGAGTAAGGCCAGAGGTAGAAAAGTCAATTTGGGAGTCACCTACATGCAGGTGCAGACTATCCAGAGAGACCATGTAGCCAGCTTCTTTTATAGCAGTGGTTAGCAAAATTCTGTAAAGGGCTAGTCAATAACTATTTTAGGGTTTGTGGCTGTATGCTTTGTGTCATCATCATTGAACTCTGTCACTGCAGCATGAAAGCAGCCAAGGACATCATGTAAATAAATGAATATAAGTGTGCTCAAAGAAAACTTTTTTTTACAAACACAGGAGGCTGGTGAATTTCTTTCAATGGGCCACAGTTTGCTGACTCTTATTCTAAAGAGAAAAAAGCCAAACATGGAACACAAGACCAACAAAGAACACTTGAGAGGTAAAAGATTATTTCGCTAGAGTTCATGGCATCTGAATGACAGGAACCTAGTTCAGAGGAAAATCAAATAAGTCATAATTGAAGTCTTGGAGGGCAGGGTGCAGCTGGGATACCAGCATAGAAACCTGACTGCGGGCTGTGGACTTCATCTTCAGATCGTCTTCACATTGGTGGGATCATAGCCACAGCAGCTCCTGGTGTCATCATAAAAGCCTGGGTTTAGAAAGATACAGGAAGTGTGTGGAGTGGGCCACTGGTTCCAGCTCCTCATGCCCCCACATGCTGTGATATTCATGTCACATTCCTCAGCCCTTGCTCAGTGACTGTAATTGCTCCTACTAGAGTTATCTTTCCAGTGATGCTGGCTGA